TACATTTCCATTTCTGGTATACTAAAGAATATACAAGACCAATAAAAAGTTGTGGGACTAGGTGTCCTGCACTATACACCGCCAGATCTTATAAGAATATATCATGGTCACATAACAATTTTTTCTGATTTCGTTCAACCATATTAACCTTTGGAAAAAGAAATACCTTTTAATTTAATTATTACATTCCTAAATACACATATAAAATATTAATATAAAATAGGTACAAAAGTAATATAAAAAAAAACATGTTACCATTACTTGGGTCCATAAAACTATTTTTTTTTATGAATCTCTCTAAAACCAATTAATCAACACCAGATGAGATCTACAAAGCTTGGAAAGCAAGTTTTGTAAAATATACTTGATAAATGCTTTCTCTAGTTATATGATAAACGGGTTTGATTATTTGAAAATGCCATACAAGTATTTAAAATCCAAAAAAAAAACGCTCTTTACCTATTACCATATATTTTTGTATCTTGGTAAGTACTTGATCGAATTGAGTGACCTTAGATTCGAAAGAAAGCCTGAATTCTATTGCAGATAATATTTAAAACTTATTTATGGTTGATATTTAGTAATGTTATTTAATATTGATTTTAAATCACGATTCATTGACGCATTTTAATAATAACAATAATATTAAATATCCTTTACATTTCTCTTTTCCTTTTTTGACAATTGTTATATTATTGTTGCTTGCTCATATTATCTAATTATTTTAAAACGTAAAAGAAATTTTAAACTGTATAAATATTATAAATATTCATAACAATATAACTATTTGCATTTATACTTACATTTGGACGCGTCAAAAAATTTTGAAATGTCATGCGACTAATTAATTAATTGCATATTAAAATAATAATATCTTCCGTGCGTTTTCCATACTAGTGTATTAGTATGTTTTAATCAAGTTACATTTAATAAACAAAATGTTTTGTAAGAAAAAAAAATGCCCATTTTTGTTTGCGAGTTTATCAGTTACTTAATAATAAAAAGGTCTGTTTTTATTTGCGACTTTATCAGTCACTCAATAATATTCCAGAACTATAAAATCTTATTCTCACATTCCGTTTTAATTGCATATTTACAAGTTAATATAAATGACATCATGGAAAAAATCCGGATTGCTTACTTAATTGTGCTGCTTTTATAAAATAAACTGAACATTTACGGAGTGATAAACATGATCACGGAAATATTCTGGATGTCATTTTTTACAGGATGAAATCTACTGAATTGGTTGAATGATAAATTCTAAAAAAAAATAATTATTTAATTCATTATTAATAATAATAAATTATGTTCGGTGATCGTTTCATAAGAACTTTTGATATCAAAACTCAAAATGTTAATATGATATTTTTTACTTCGTATTCAAGATATAAAATAAATAGATCATCGAAATGATAAAAAAATTATGTGAATTATCGGTGTATCCTACGCAAGTACCCTGTTTTGGTCAATAATTCACGACAACGTGTATTGTGACTTAATTTTTACTGTTTTCTGGATGATAATATTTTAAAGAATGCTTAATAATTAAAAAATGTGCAAAAACTAAAAATTATTATAAAGATTGTCAGCTATTGATAATCACTATCCTCAATATATAAGAATAAAGAATATTATCCCTTATTTAACAATTATCATTTAATAGTATCTATTCAGAAAGATCTGTGAACTAGTTTCATCTAGTATGTCTATCATGCCAATTGTTAGCATATTTAGCATGCTATCTTACACCGTTGAACAACCAAGTATAGAGTGCCTGGTTGAACAAAAGAATTCTCAAAATGTATTAGTTATAGAACAACGTACATAATAATTGCACAATAAGTATTTAGCTTATGTTTTGAAGATCCATAAATTAATTCAAAAAATAGATTTCTATTGAATAAAGGGCATACTCCTATGAAATTTAGTGTTTCTAGATTTCTAGAACTTTACCAATTAAAAATATAAGAAATTCAATCATTTTTTGACGATTTGAAAAAATATTTTATCAATTCTTATTAACATTTTTATAAAATAAATTTTGCTGAAGATTTCATAAATTTAGTATTAAGGCTACATCAAGATCTCAGAAACCTATAATAGATGTTTCCAGCATGCAGACTAGCAAAGTTTATATAAAAAATTTCCAAAAGTTACTGGCTAAGATAGGTAAAATTAATTGTACTTTAAAAGATGTTCAAGTTTTTACAAGGTAAAATGGTTTTTCCTCGCAACTAATATAAGGGTAAAATTGTTAATTACTGATCCTTTTGTGATTGGCAGTAAAATTAAAGGTCCTTAACTGTCCAGTCTGATTCTGGGACTGGAAATCCTACCTTAGGACCAGACTTAAATCCTGAAAAATTGATCCGAGGCTTTTTTTAAACAAAAAATATTGTAATATTACAAGGTAGCTTTTTGGTAAACCTCGATTATTTTACTTTTATGACCGAGTCTGAGTTAACTTTTTGGCTACACTCGTCGATTAATTGCAAGCTTTTATATACAATTCTGTGAATTATTTACAAAATTATTTACAATTATCCAGCTTACTGCTTCTTTCTTGTACCTAGAAGGTTTCAGTGAATCAGTAAGCATGATTTATGACACAAATAACAACGTATTATAATAATGCAATTATAAAATTCCTATTTAATTTTTGCTTTTCTTTGGCTGATTAAAGCCAGCCTTACGTTTATAACAATTACTGTAACACAATACAATATGTGGTGATGATAACTGTTGACGCTTAATACTTTTTCCAATTAGTCTTAAAACCTTACGTTTACACTTAAACAATTAAGCACGTCTACAAAAAGTTAAACAAAAATGTTTACGCATAACAAAAACCAAAAATCAAACCTTTGCTTTATACCAAAACAAAATACTCGACACCCCAAATTCTATACCATTCGGATGACCAAATAGATAATTAAATCCTATTGTTTAATTCCTGACCACAAAAGTGTTTTATTAAACAAAAAAGAATTAATTATTTACTGTATGTATAAATATTTTTTCTACATTTATTTATTATTTATTATGAATAGATTGGTAAACGGATGGATGGATGAAGAATTCAATAAAAAGTGTAGTTAGTAATAGTTGATTATTTGGCATATGAAAAATCCAAATATTGATGACAATTTTTAAAACTAAAAAAAAAATTACCATCGGTTATATGAAGATCTTTTATAACTCCGGTCCTAAATAGAATATTGGGTAAAATCTAATTTTACGAGAACGTCTAGTAATAATACTAATAGGGACCCGCAAACCATATAGATAAGTTACATACAAAAAATCACGGTTTGATATAGGGTTTGACCCACGCTGTGATTGGCTTATTGTAGAGAATCTTTCCAAATTTGGTAATTTTCACCAACATTGCATTTTCTAAATAGTAAAATTTTTAAGTCTATTTACTATAAGATTTGATCCAGCTGCAGTAATATACTTGCCGTCCATACTCAAATCCTTAAAAATTCCATCCTATCCCATGCCCATTCCATCCAACTCCAACCCAATCCTATATCCCATCCCATGTCCCATATTCCATAGAATTAACAAAAAGTATTATATATTTATTAATAAAAAATTTATCATTTATTGCAAAACCATAAAAACAATTAAAAGGAAAATTTGATTCTTTAATAATTTTTATTATTACACAAATAATGATCAAATAAAAATTTACTTAAAAAATTAATTACTTAAAGTCAAATTTTTGGAATCACACACATCTTTAAGATTATATTGGCAATCTCGAAATATAACAGATGATTAGACAAGGTGATATGTTTTGGAGGTTCATAACCACTGCATAAAGTTTTTGCAAAATAACAGAAGAAAGGTGAATAAAAGGAATTCCACACAAAAAAGCAAACCATTTCTTGATTTGCTCTTGAAATTTTGGTGCATCTATTATATTACTGTCAAAATAAGAATGAAGATCCATATTATTTCCAATGCTTCCTCTTTACCTTTTATTTACAGATTCTATATATCATCTGATTTAATTAATCTTAAAATATTTTACTTTTACTTATATATTAACCAATGAGCATTTCAGAGCTAAATACTCTTTCTAGTCAGAAGGTTTATTGCACTTCCATGACTTGAAGCAAAATTTACTTTGTGCTGACAGGTGAGAATCATGTGAAATTTCTGTTTCATTAAAATAATTCCATACTGGGTCTCTAGATTTAACCTCTTTGTCTAGAATTTCTGGTATTTGTATTAATTTCAGAAATTGATAAATTTTCTATTTCATCGGCCTATTTATCAAAGTGTAATTTAATAAAAAAAATAAATATTCGCCATTTTCACAAGCGAATCACAACGAACATTAAAAATATTACGTGTAAAAATAATTATTTAATGTGTGACGAAATTCTGATTGGTTAATATGGGACACGGGATATGGGATGGGGATTCTACTGATATCTCATAGTATGAGCAGCAAGCATAAGCAGTAACCTATCTATATAGTTTGTGGGTCCTATACTAATACTAATATAAGTTTCCAGCTCCTGATATTTGCCAATCATCCTTTCATAAAATTTATCTGAATACTCAATCGTCATCAAATAAGAATAATGATATTCGAATATTCAGTCTGTTCACCAGTTTGATGTCGAGTATATACTTAATGATGTATGACGAAATGTTTTTGGAATTGAGAAACTATTTCGTCAAATCACTAAAAAATGACAAAAGACTAAACCCTTGACAAAAGTCAAAACCTTTGACAAAAGTCAAAACCCTTGACGAAAATCAAAATTATTGAAGTCATTGGCAAAACAAAAAATTAAAAGTAAAAACCATATCTAATTTTTATTAAAATATATTTTTTTTATATTATCAAACAATTATTTAAATTTCTGTCTTTTATTTCTTACAATTTCATTATCAACATTTTTTCTATGTAAATTATGTTGTTTTAACATAAGCTTTGACTTT